CGAAGTCGGGCTCCTGGCCCCCCTTTCCGCCCCCTCGTTGAAAAGATCTTGCTGAGACCAATCGAAATCTGCAAAAAATTTTTTTAGTCGGTCGCCCCCCTTTTTTGAAGATCCTGACCCGGGCCAACTTGAAAAAAGCGGCCGATGGGGTCGGGACCAGGTCCATTCATCTTGTCTCGTCGCCCCGATTCCAAAAATACCCCTATGTGCCCTGCTAGCACCAATAATGGCGGAAATCCCCCTCCCGCTCATGTAAACCATGATGCACCTGCAGCAGCCCTTGTGCGACCCGGACGGGATTTGCACCACCGGATTATTTGTTTGGACGGTACTCCTGAAGTACCCTCCAAATCTGGTTACTCTAGTAAACTCCTTCCTTGTACACAGACGCCAACAACAACAACAACAACACACAGACAAAAGGCAAATGCATAGGCCCTCCCCCTATTTTTTGAATAGAAGGGCGGGCCAAAAATTAAAATATGTATCATACCTTATGGGAAAAAATGTGAACTTGTTCATCACTGAACCTTTCTGAGTACGAATGTCAGTCGCCGGTTATCCTGGCCCGTAAATTAATGGACATACAGCGTGACAAAGGGGAACGTGCAGAGGGAATCACCACTCCATTCAAAAGTCCTACTCCAAGGCTCGACTCGGGGGGTGACCCAAGGGCCCGCCACAAAATGCGAGTCTATTCTGGACGAGTCTATCTTGGAGTTTGACTGTACACATCGGCAACTTTGGCCCGTCCCGTACATTTAGAAATGTGCGGATTTCGCCCCTTTTTTTGGCCCGCCCTTCTATTCAAAAAATAGGGGGAGGGCCTATGCATTTGCCTTTGTGTCTGTGTGTTGTTGTTGTTGTTGTTGTTGTTGTCGTCTTTGTTGGCGTCTGTGTACAAGGAAGGAGTTGAGCTAGAGTAACCAGATTTGGAGGGTACTTCAGGAGTACCGTCCAAACAAATAATCCGGTGGTGCAAATCCCGTCCGGGTCGCACAAGGGCTGCTGCAGGTGCATCATGGTTTACATGAGCGGGAGGGGGATTTCCGCCATTATTAGTGCTAGCAGGGCACATAGGGGTATTTTTGGAATCGGGGCGACGAGACAAGATGAATGGACCTGGTCCCGACCCTATCGGCCGCTTTTACAAGTTGGCCAGATCAGGATCTTAAAAAAAGGGGGTCGACCGACAAAAAAAATTTATTGCAGATTTCGATTGGTCTCAGCAAGGCCTTTTCAACGAGGGGTCGGAAAGGGGGTCCAGGAGCCCGACTTCGTCTATTAGTCACATCAGGATTTTAAAAAAAGGGGGTCGACCGACTGAAAATTTTTACTTAAGTTTTCGATAGGTCATGGCAAGACCTCTTCAACGAGGGGTCGGAAGGGGGGTCCAGGAGCCCGCCTTCATGAGTTATGGGAAAAAGTGCGACGGACTCGTTTTGCGCTCCTGCTGTGCCTCTATTGCAAGGAGTTGCAGTAGCATGGCAAATATGGGTATTTTCGGAATGAGGGCGAAGAGACAAATGAAATGGGCATATTCTAAGGACAGTTGGAGTAAAAAGTGTAAGGACTATTGCATATTGTGAATAGAAGGGCGGGCCTAAGTCACGATGGTACATCGATAACTTTGCTTTACCCGCTCACGGTGTGTGTGATGCGAGCGGGCCGAAGGCCCGGGCCTTCGACTGGCCAAGTTGGGTCTGATGCGAGGGCCGAAGGCCCGAGAAAAGGCCGCCGGCAGGCCAAGCTGGGCCGGCCCCCTGTCGAACCGAGTTGCCGGCGCAGCGAAGCGGAGCTGGCAACTCGGTTCAACGGAAGGGCGGGCCCTAGCTTGTTAACCTTAACGAGATTTAAACCTGAGTCTGGGGTCAAAATATATGTTATTTTCGTCATCAGCGCCCTCAAAAACATCAGAAACTACGCAAAAACTTGAATAAAAAGAATGTACAAAATATACCCCATTGGGATTTAAACCCGGGTCCAAACTTCTCCGATTCGCTTGAAACTGGCACCGTTGGGAAGTCCTCGGACGGACGGACGCACATCATCAGGGGGCGGCAACGGCCTAGGAAGCGCGTGAAGCCATGCGCGAGTGAGGTGCAGGGGTTACTTATTTTGCTTCGATTGGAAGATCTAGCCCGTTGATTGCAAAACGCTTTGCGCAGATCAAAAGAGTACAAAATTTAAGGTGCATTAGGCCTAGTAGACTGCCCGAAACTTCCAATTCAACCGAACACAAGGGCGGAACATGGCGCATTCGAGTTTTTCCTGAATTCTGTGATTTCTCGTGTTTTTTGGTGTTTTCACTGCACCTTGACATAAAGTAAGGGGGAGTTTCGAGAAGAGCAATTAGCCTAATGCACCCTAAATTTCAAGCCCTTTCCATTGGTGCAAAGCGTTTTGAAAAACACTGTCTAGTTTTCATGATCTCGAAGAAGTGCGCAACCTCTGCTCTGACGGCGCGAGCATCGCTTCACGCTCTCCCTAGGCCGTTGCCACCCCCTGACAGCATGCATCATACTATACGGCCCTCCCTCCAGTATGTTTTTAACAAAAAAAAACCAAAAAAATACACGGGACGGGCCAAAATTACACGGGACAAGCCGAAAAGAAGGCCAAAATTTGGTCATTTTTACTGTTGTGCCCCTTTAAATTTAACTGAGGTCACTCCACAGCAGATGTCAAACAGACGGAACTTGGATACTGAAGTTTTCACAGAGTCTATAGCACCTTGAACACTGTTTAACTGAAGATTCGCTACTTAGGAGTACACTTCATGATCTTCACTCAAGAGTTCACCATGCTCAAAGAATTGAAACTTTTCATCAGGGGAAGTTGATTAATAAGGGCACCAGAATCAGACAGTTTTGAATTATTTAGAGAAGCTGTGACCACTGGATGGCAGTGGGGTGACAATCCATTTCTCAGTTTTGATGCTACTTCCACAAAAATGGTTTGCTGATCAGGAACCTGTAAGGAAAACAAATTAACATTATGATGGTAATAGGACATACACAAATTCGTAGCTCTAAGTTGTGGTTACTTACCGTCACATTACCTTGAGGAACAATAGGAACATGAATGAGTAGTATCACAATCGGATGAATCATTGAAGGCATCAGAAAAGGTTGATGCATCACTTAAATTTAAATTTAATTGCTGCTTGTTATTGGACAAGTCACTTTCATAAAGCGTGTCCCGAAAATGAGGAAAATAAATGATTGATAAGCCATTTGGTTACTTGAAAATAACATTCCATAACACGCCAATTTTGCTTTACTTACACTACTAGTAGTGCAGAGAGGTACCTCGCCTTGAGATCAGTACTTGGAGAAGTATCGCTACATCTTGTCTCTGAAGGGTCTGCAGTAGTTGTGATCGGAATGCAGCTCTCTGATACAAAAATGTGGCTCAGATTTAACATAATGAAAAGCCAAGGTTAAGAATAAACTTGATTCACACTTTCATTTGTTTTATTAGGGATAGGTTCGTGATTAGAAGGACTATCTTCAGTAGGTTTTGAGCAGGTTATGGCCGATGGCAGTTTTTTTTTGTACAAAAACGGCCATAGTTATGGACATAAAGCCCATAAGCATTTAGTGTGCGAACCTTTCCATGATTGCACCCTGTGAGGCCTTTGTGGGCTTGACTGGCTTGAAAGGGGCCTGGGCCTTCGCCGCCGGTTTGGCCTGCTGCCACGGAACCCAATCACGACTCCAGTCCAGGGACTCATCGCACTTCATGAAAGGACCATGGTGGAGTTGTAGCCTCAATCGCATCCCCAACTAAATTTGGGTCACGAAGAATATTTTGACCCAAGTCTGTCAACGCGTACCGTTGAGGTTCTAGAGGCGCCGTGACTTGGATATGGCACTTATTAACATTCAGAGCTCTCCCCTTCCTGTAGCAGTAAGTTAAGTTATGCCTATTTTTCCTTTGTCTTTTCATACCTGTCGAAGTAGTCCAAAAATGGCTTTGTATCTGGATCTTTGTCCAACATGTTACGCATTCCCCTCAAACAAATTTCAAACCACTCAATATCCAATATGTTCCTTACAGTGGTCATTCCCCGATAAACTTCAGCCTTCTTATGCACTCCCTTCACTTCCTCTTGAGTCTTTCCTGCCCCATCTTTGGTCCACATGCCACGATCAGTATAAATCATCATCGGCATCACACTTCTTCATGCATTTTAGAATTCGGCTGTCATGTATGAATAATGCTATCATCATGAAGTCAGAGGGTTTTAAAGGACACTGATCGTCTCCCCATTGACGGATCTCATGTTGAGCTGTGTACAATACTATTTGGTTCTGGCCACCTTTTGACATTAAATTTCGAACTAATATATCAACACTAAGGGCATCGTCACTGTGCGCATGGTTCAATTTAAAATCTACTGTCCTCTTTAAATTCCATAGGTCCCGTAATTATATAAGATGCTTTCTGTTCAAACTGCTTGGTCACATGGATTAACCAAGTCTCAGATTTTGTCAAGAATCCTGTCAAAGGGCTTGTCCAGCTTCAAGGCATTGGTAATCCCAGCCATGTCAGTGTCAGATAAAAATAAAAATGGCACGTGGCGCTCATATCCAAAATATAATTTGTTCCATTCAACAGTCACAGATTCTTTTGTGATTAACACAGTCATTCTTGATGGACATGCTGCGTTATTTTCTTGGTTGGAGCTTCAGGTTTCCTTCTAAATCTTATTCCACACTCTTTGAAAAATCCTGCCCTGTGACGTTCCAAGTACAATTACTTACCTTCCTTCACCTCTCTCATCCCTCATCTGTTAACGTAACTACGGAGGTTCTTTTTCTCCACACACTCCTTCCATACTTCAAAATCACGAAATCGGTCAAAAGTTAACCAGGTAGGTGTACGCCAGACCGCCCCTGGCGTTACACCTACCTTGGCCTGTTGCGCTGGCCTGCCTTTGTACCTGTACCAGTCACCCCGTGGCCAAGATGTGCGCCGCCGGCACCGATGGCCCTCGAAGACCACCTGCACTGGCGGAGGACACTAGCACACCACTCAGTGCAGTAGGGAGAACAGCCGCGCTCAACTGCCAAGGGCAACCTTCAAGGATGATTGACTGTAAGCACGTTTTGCTCCCTAACTTCTAGATTTGTCTGTAATTTTCATCTCTTGGTTTTACCTCCTCTATAGTATCAGTGTGCATTGATTGTAATTGTCACACCTCACTTACTAAAGCAACAACCAATTCATCTTCAAACAAATAATTCTTTCCTCTTGTTCACACTAATTTTTCTTTAAAGATATTTAAAGATACAAGTCATACAAAAACTCTTCACAGACAGTTGCTCATTCACAGTTTCTCTTCCTATTTAAACCTTTTAGGTTTTTAGGAAGAGAACCTTTTAGGTTTAAATAGTAAGAGAAACTGATGGTGGGATGAGCTTACCATTGTTGGTTCAACTTCAATGCCCTCTTCCTCAGTTACATTCCTAGCCATTTTAATTTTACAGGCTTTCCTCGTGTTAGATTTCTTGTCATGAATCTTATCAGAAGTTTCTTGAGAGACAGCTGAAAGAAAAATAGCGTAGGTTTCAGATACATTACGAATCTAATGGTCAGGTCACTTTTATTTAGAAAGTCAAAATGTTTACTTACCAGAGCACACTGCAATTTGGATGGAAAGACTTCGCGCCAAAAATCGCGAGACATTTAAGTCTCGCCAAGTTTTGGTCAGACCTGAAAGCGGGGGGTGCCTGGGCCGGGTAGTCGCCGCCCAGAAGTCGAGCATGTAATCCTTTGCCTGCGTTCGTGATCTATTCCGAGGAAAGGGGCTCTGATCGGTCAGGTCGGGTGTGGGAAACTGAAAGTGCGGTGCCACTTTTGGGCCCCGCCCTAGGCACGCGGGCAACAACAAAACGGGCCTGCTTGTACAAGCCGGAGGAGCCGCGGCCGGCTGTTTCAGAATTCTCAATTTAATTCCCAAATTCTCAATTTAAGATTTTTTGTATCTTGGATGTTACTAAACTTGATGTAAGCTTTTGCTAGCTTAGAATAGAATGTAGCGGTAGAGGGTGTGAGTAAAATATTTAATGGGCGCCAGGCAAGTAAATTGCCGCTTCACCAAGAGGTATTCATGTTTCAAACTCAGTGCAAAGAAGGGCAGGATAAATTATTAAGTACAGAATTTAACAAACATGCGTTTATTAATCAATTAACTGGGCCCAGCTGTATGAAAGGAAAAGTCACGATTAGCAACAACTAACTTAAAACTACAATTACTTAACTATGCCCCGCATAAGCAGGGCGCACCAGCCCCAACCATCGCTGGCCAAAGTGGCGGACAACCAGTTAATCGAATGAGCCAAAATATAAATCACTATTTTACCCAACTAATATTATTAAATAAATTTATAGATGTAGAGACTTAACCAGCATAAAATTACAGCTGATTTACTCCTACATCATAATTCGAGCAAAAACTAAATAATATTAGGAAGCCACACAATAACTTGGGGCAGACAGGTTAAATTCAACGGTTCTATAAAAATGGCTCACTTGATTTCCGCCCCCTAGTTTTGCAAAGATTAATTACTAAAGAGCATAATATTTACAGCAATATCAAAGCAAGAAAAGCTACTATATACAAAATTGCAAAACAATGAGCACCCTAACCCAAGCAATTTAAAAATACACAATTATAAGCAAAGCTCCAAAAAAAAAAAATATAAATAATCAATGAGAGGCACTATGGGGAAAAGCAAAAGCATAAGCAGAAGCAACTAACAACAAGGGATAGGAATCTTGAGTACCAAGACTATATTGTGAGGTTTCTGAGAAGGGAGACCCATGCCGAGGCGATGGGCCACCCTCAGTCACCCAGCGCCTGCACTATATAATCTCTGAGTACCTTTAGACCAGCAGCGTTAGGATGTATGCAGTCAATACCTTTGACAGTGCGCCGGACATATAAATCCTTATTTACATTGCCATTACTCAGTGCAAAGGCAGTAGAGAACTCAAGCAGCTGTACAGAAGGTTGCTGAGCTAGACCTTTTATCCAAAAATTGAACTGAGCTATGTTGGGGGCCAGTGGGTCATACTTAGAGTGTGCCAGCGGCAGCAGTAATCCGCAATAAACTGAACACCCTTTTCGGATGAGTGTGCGTACTAGAGAAGCATAGATTTGCCAAGTAGAGGCCAAATCTCTTTTCTTTAAGATGTCGTTAATTCCTACGAGTAGCACCACTTTTCCAGAAATTGGGAGGGATTTAACCAAAACCTTGACAGCTTGCACGCCAGCCCCACTCACACACAACTGGTTGGAAACTGAGTGAAAAGAGGAGGGGTACTTGTTTAGAACCCGCTTCAGAATACTGTCCCCAATCAACACAGCCATGATCTGGAGCTCCACGTAGCCTCACAAGGTCCCACACTTTACGTAACTGGTCACCTCACATTTTGACAGGATGGAGAGCTGAAGTGTCGAGGGCCGCCATGGAGAGAAGTGAAGTTAGCCCGTCATTGCGAGCCGAGCTGTGTCGCGCCGTCCAGCGTCCATCGCGCTACCCGTCATTCTAGCCGGCCATGGCGAGAGGATTTAGCAGAGTACAAGAAAAACCACACCGACACCAACACCAACACATCACATCAGCTGATCGGCTACATAACCTTCACGGCACCACGGTTAAACGAAAAGAATGAGCGAAAATGACTGTGACACGGCGCTTACCGTTCGCGGGTGGAAGGCGACATTAATGATTTAACGGCGGCGAGCGGGTTTTCTCGGATCTGCGCCGGTGAAACGTAGTAAACGTGACAAAACCCAACGCTAGAATGCACGTTTTTGCTCTCGGAAACCCGTGTGCGCGCGACTGAGGCTGAGAGGGGACCGGAAAAGGGAGATGCGGGAGGAGAGGGGATTTTCGAAACTGGGGAGAATGAACCGGAAATGAAGCGAAGCGCGAGAATTTGAATTGATCGGGGAAGGACTTTACGTGCTACATGACCGTGCGGTGCTGCAGACACCAAATAAAAATTAAAATAGAAGAGGGATAGCGAGACAAAGGCACAAGAGTTTAGAGGGGATAGAAAAAAAAATAAATTACAGAAAAAAAAAGGAACGGACACGTTACAGTTTACGCCTGGCGTAGGGTCATTTGGGGTAATAATGGGACACTGAATAAAAATGGGACAGGTGATTCTTAGTCAAGATTTGACATTATTGAAGGCATGACATACCAAATGTGACGTTTCTCTTGTTAAGATAACATTTGCTACGGCACAAGTTCTAAAATCTCGATTCATGACTAAGAATCAGCTGTCCCATTTGTACCCCGTGTCCCATTTAGCCCAACTGACCCTACAGCCTTTAAAAATACCCCTCTGCCCCGTACCACCATACGGCTCACCACCTTTTCCCCACCCCTCACGTGAGGGTGGAAGGATCTGCAGTTCAAACTATATTGGAAAAATATAGATTTTTTGAAATGTTAAACTTAATTTTTAAATACTTTTTTTCATACTTAAAATTACTGTAATGTACTGTATAATTGCAGGTAAAGTGTAGTTCAACTACAGTTGAAGTGTAGTAAACTACAATTAAACTGCAAAAAAAGTACCAGTTATTTCGGACAACTATAGTTTTTGACCCAGGTTGTCCTAGTCTTCAGATCAGTTGACTATAGTTCAAAGTACAGTTTTACTGTAGTTTAGTTACACAGCCAGAGTCAGTTCAAAACGAGGGGTCCCTCACCTCGTCTAGTCAGTGTACACCCCCGACTCTAGTCACTGCCTTGTTTTAGTCTAGTCCCTTAAAAAGACGGCACAACAACGTATCTTTGCCCTATTTGCAGCAAATTTGTGTCGCATTTCATTAAATTTTCCATCTAATCAAAGTGGAAATTCACTCTAGTCACCAGTCAGTGTACACCCATTTTTGAAGTGAGGTACCCCTCGGTTCAAAAGAGGAGACAATCTGCAGTTTTAAAATTTGGTTCAAAATTCAAAATTTTTAATTTTTGAACCTTGTTTTGAGGGGACTCTTCCTCCCTTTGACCCCTTAGGAGATTGACTTTGTGTTAATGGTGTGTTTTGATTGGATGTCGCCGGGAGTTGAACCTCGGACACTTGGCTTGTGAGGCAGAGGCCTTGACCACTGCACTACTGACCTTCCTTGTGGATGGGGGCTTGGCTACTCGACCACATGCGAAGGCCGGCTTTCCTCAGGAACTATAGTTCAACTGCTAGAAAACTACAGTTTTACTGTAAGCCACTCTGTACTTTGAGAGAAATCCACTTGTCAAAAATGTAATTTATAATGAATTTGCCTCAGAAACCAAGACACCATGGAGTGATTTAATTCAGAGAGCCTTCAGGGTCTTAATTTCCAACGACTGGAGTCATTACCTTTTCAACTTCTGAGACGCATTGCATTATAATGCGTTCTAGTTTTATTTGTGTTTGACATTTTATCATCCAGTCATAATGACATTTGATGCCACTTAGCTAGACCTTGTTTGGCGACAAGCTGGCTAAATTTTGTGGCTTGTTGATTTCCACGATACTTTGTCAAATGCTACCTGACCAATATGGAACATTATAAAATAAGCAAACAGATATTGGTGAACATGGTGATTGGTGAACATGGTGATATTGAAACAGAATTGGTTACATCCAGCCATATACAGGGTGAGTTTCCTCAATGTGTCAATAATTTGCAGGCAGTTTGGGCATCCCTAGGGGACCATTTTTCGCCAATGAACTAGTGGGCGCAAACGTCTAGGTACGGAGATAGTTGGTGTTTTGTAATTGGATTTTGCGCCTACGAGGTAGGCACCCGGTGCCACTGAGGGCGGCAGGACCTGTCGAGGGGGTGTCGTGGGATTAGCAGTACTCGCGGGAGTGCCACTGACCTCGCGGAAGTATCCGAGGAATCCCGCCACCCTCGCAAAGACAGCCGTGAGATCCACTGTAACGGGGGCACCATGACAGCCTCTTCAGACCCGGGGCAACCCCTCCCAAAAGACATTTGCAAGGTCCGCCGCACCCCTCCTAGACCCGCGACACCCCCACGCGAGGTCCTGCGACCATCAGTGGCTGCGGGTGCCTACCTCGCAGGCGCGAAGGCCAATTACAAAACACCAATTATCTCCGTACCTAGACGTTTGCGCCCACTAGTTCATTGGTAGAAAATGATCGCCTTGGGGTGCCCAAACTACCTACAAATTATTGACACATTGAGAAAACTCACCCTGTAGGTTTTCATATGAAAGTTTAGTCGTGTCTTCTAAAAGTCTCCAACGTCAAGTATTTCAACGTAAACCTTTAAAAGAAATAACTGAAACTTCTAAGAGAGATTTCCTTTTCAATCCTTATATTATTTTAATCACTCAATGTTATTGTTTTTTTTCTTCATATCAAGTTGCAGTGCTTGACATCTTAAACTATGCCTTAAGCGAAAAATTACTACAAATTGTAGTAAACATTCAACTAGTTTGTCATTGTGTAAAAAAGTATGAGCAGAAACTTCATTTTCTTTGTAGATCCTGCTGCAGATAAAAGTGTAGGCGGATCTTCAGTAGTGGACTATTAAAGTAGAGTAGTATTAAAACATTTTTAACTTCACTTTTTAACTACAGATAGTACTTGATACCTGGTCAACAAATAGCAGTTCAGCTAGAAAGCAGTTTACATACACAGCAAACTACAGATCCATGAGCAAACTGAAACTGGACTTATTCTGCACTTTGTTCTTACCAAAAACTGCAGTTCAGGAACTGTAGTTTTGGCACTACAGTTAAAACTGCAGTTTCACTATAGATCCTTCCACCCGACCACCGAAGAGCCCCGAAGTACCACCTTTTCCCCCTCCCCGTACCACCGAGTGCCGTTCGGCTTCTGGCAAGGCTGCCTCCAGTACTCGGCCGCAGTGTGGCCAGACTTGGCGATTTTTGGTCCGGTTTGGCGACAATTTGGCGATGGCGATTTTTGAAAAAAATTTGGCGATTTTTTTGGCTATTTGGAAAAGAACTTGGCGATTTTGTCTAGAAAATGGCGAAAATATGCCGAGTCGCCTCGTTTGGCAACTGGCACTGGCGCGCCTGTTCGTTTTTGTGGGTTCGCCGCAGCCTGAGCTGGACCCCCCTTCTGGTTCCGTGAAAACCGCCCGGGAGGAAGGGGACTGCGGCCTAATCCCTAATCCGCGTGCACTTGGGGCAAGGGGGGAAGGGGGCAGGGACGGAAAGGACAGCCTGCAGTCAGCCTGCAGCATTGCTGCCTGACGCCGACGGCACTACTCCATGCCGGTTGTTGGCGTGGAGTAGCGCGGAGCCTGCCGTTGTTGGCAACGGGCCGTTGCTAAGGAGAGGGGCTAGGGGACCACTGAACGGGGCAGGCGGCAGACGCTCCGGCCCGGTACTTTTTTTTTAACATGTTTAATGGCCATAGGTAGTTTTATAACAGTTTGTAATAGAATATTTAACAATAACAATGGTCAATAATAACAGATTGAAGTGAGGTGCGCTAAATTGGTGAACAATGATTGACAGTTGAAACTTTGTGCTTTTAGAGTTGAACTTCCCGCGATGCTCCTCTGCTTCAGGACAGCGGCGGCGGCGGCGGAGGGCTTATTGCCACTGAAGTGGGTTCGGCCCCCCGTGCCCTACGCCAACCTGAAAACAGAGGAACATGGCGTGAGTGCCAGGTAATTACAAACAGTTAAAAAGGGTTTCTAAGTAAATGCCGGTGAAAATAGAAATAAATTAGGGGGAACTTAGTAAAACCGTAGTATTAAAACATTTAGCATGAAACAGATGAAGGTAAAAAAAAAAATATCACGGGAACTTTTTACTTGTTACTTAGACAATTAAAGTTGTACTAGAGATTCAGACTGAATATGACAATAAAAAAAAGGAACACTTAGCTGTTTTTCCTACTCCTCCCTACCAGCTTCCTTTGTAGCTCCATAGTATTATGACCCAAATTTGGGCGAGGAAACTTTACTGACCCAAATTTGGGCAAGGAAAATTTCCTCACCCAAATTTGGGAATAAAGAATTTCTCACCCAAAATTTTAGTCATGATCATGACTCTTTCATACGCGCGGGGTTTCGCATCGAGTACCCGCACTTTAAACTACATCTACGTATTTCAGGCGATGCTGACCTGGACATTTTGAGATCTGAATGGAATACGTAGGATGGGAAATGTGGACTGGAAAAAGTATTTCCAGGGGTACATTCCATAATCCAGCTTGACACTCTGGACGGCAGTCTGGAAGTACGAAGTTGGGGGTGTGAGGAAGTTCTAGAACATTGCCTCCTTCGTCCTCAAAATGCTGAGCTGCCCCCTGAGTAACGTGAGGCACTGATGCGAGCAAAGTTGTGGGCGCGCGGGGTCCGATGCTGTGCGAACTTTACTCCCACTCCTAAAATGTACGAGCTATTTACAAGGGACATGTATGAGCAGGGTCAAGAGCCGGGCGGCGAGGGCGAGGTCGAAGAAGTTTTCGATGAAATAATATTGGCCTTTGGTGAAGTTGAATAAATTCCCCTGAGTATTGTTAACAAGTTTTATTTAAGGTTATGACCTACGAGCCAACAAGGCTCTTTAAAAATTTCGTGGCAAGTTGTACTTTAGCGTCAAAGATTTCAGATCACTTGGCGATTTTTGTGGCGTTTTGTTCTTTGATGCCAAATTTTTAAGCCGAATTGGTGATTTTGGTGGCGATTTGTGCTTTGACTTTAAAGAATTCAGCCCATTTGGCGATTTTTGTGGCAATTTATTCTATGCCGCCAAATTTTTGAGCCAAATTGGCGATTTATGAGGCGATTTTTGCCCGGAACTGAAATTGGAAAAAGACGTGGCGATTTTAACTCTGCCGCCAAAAGAATGGCGATTTTCTTGGCGATTCGAGCGCTCCGGTGGCGATTTTTGGCGATTTGGGCCCGTGGCGACTTTTGGCGATTCGAGCGCCGCCTGGTGGCGATTCGGAGCGCTCGGCATCTGGCCACACTGCTCGCCGAGCAGTGCTCGGCCGAGTCTCGCCACTAGTGACGGCCAAATTTTTTAAATAATCGAATGTCCGAATTTCGAACATTCGAGTTACATCGAATATTCGAAGTCCGAATGTTCGCTCCAACTATTCGAATAATCCGAATATTCGGTGAAATATTCGACAGAAATTAAAGGGGTTAGGAGATCAACCAGTACACATACACAAAAACAAAAAGAAACAACAGTACCAATAATTTATTTTTCAACTAGTCTCGCTCCTGTGCTCCTGTCAATCTCTGAGTCCTCCCCACTCAGCAGCTGTCACATTGGCCGGCCAAAAACATGAGGGCCTGCAGGTGGTCGGGCTTCAGTCGGCTTCGCCGCTCAGACGCCGTCTGCCCTGCCTCCGAGAAGAGGCGCTCCGATGGGACACTGGTGGCTGGAATGACGCCGTATCGAAGGGCGATAGGCGCCAGGACGGGGAAGGTGGGCGCCATCCGTTGCCAGTACACAAGCAGATCCGTTGTCCGCGGCTCGAGGGGCTGGTCGAGGCGCCCCTTGTTGTCGCTTCGCGCCACGAATACAGTTCTAGCAAATGCCGATGGATGGCGCTGCCCGCGCTGCGGGAGGAGGGGAGGGGGACAAGCAGGCATAGACAATCAACTGTGAGGAAGGCGACACGGCAAGCTCAGGGCAGAGGGCAGCACCGGGATACGCGCCACGATTTAGCCAGGGGAGCCCCTAGTAGTCTGCCAATTTCGCCCATAACTCCTTTGTCATGCAAGATAGACCCGTAGTGTAAGCGAGCCGATTGTAGGCAACGCTGCTAGCTTCCCAATATGCTAGTTTTCATACATGTGCGATAATTGCAGTGAGAGCTATAAGTCAAAAACAGCATCCGTGCCGGCTGCCGCCTGGCTGCTAGTGGCGTATATCCCAGTGGCGCCCCTAGCGGCGAACGTCTGCAGTCGCCTTCCCCATATCCATAGACCAACTGCTTCATGCCCAGGCTGGGATCCATGTGTTACGCCGCTCCCTGATTGGTCGGTACCTCACTAAGATTCCAAACGCACGTATGGTGCAATGCGCTGAGATATCGCACCATACGTGCAATGCCACAGCCATATTGCACCTTAGGTGCAATGCTTCCCGAAAATGCCTTATGCTAATGCATGGGAATTGGGAGGCATTGCACTTCATGTGCAATGCTTTTGCATTGCACCAATTGACGCTATACTCATAGCGTTTGGATTCTCAGTGCTTTCACGTTACTGGTCATTGCTCGGCTTTGGTCACCAAGCTGCCTCGGCAGCGAACGCCGCGTCCTGATTGGTCGAGGAGGCTCGAGCTCCACCAATCAGGACGCGGCGTTCGCTGGCGGAGGCAGCTTGGTGCAGTCGATGCCACACTTGTCGAACAGTTTACACCTTTTAAGTTGATGTTCAGCTGCTTTCAGTGGGTGTAAAAGAAGCTCACATAAATGAGGAATATCATCAAACGGCTCGATTTTTCAAATGAACTTTAATTTTAGAGCCTCAGAGGAAGTTTTACGGAGGAACACCGCTCGAAGATACAGTTTTCTAAACTCTATCCGGAGAAAAGGGGGGTGACAAACAATTTTTTTTTATTGCAGATTTGAACGGGTCTTGGTAAGACCTTTCCAACGAGTGGTCGCAACCAGGGTCCGAAGTGCGTCCTTGTGGGTCCATGCATACAAAGTCTGAAATGAGTCCGTTTGCGTCCATAAGCGTCCATAAGAACCCCTTTGGACCCTGGCTGGACCTTTGTGGACGAAGGATGGACGCCAACCCCGGACCCCAACGGACGCATCACGGACGCTCACGGACCCCAACGGACGCCATCCTCCATCGGCTGCCGCACCTCACCGTCCTCGACATCGACGAGGAGATGTCGGACGACTTCCTGGACGCGCTGGACGGCAAGGTGGTGCCCGGACTCGAGAAGCTGTTCGCGCGACTGCCACCGAACGCCTACTGCGAGCACGCCGAGCTGCACATCGAGGAGGATCGCATGCGCCACGTGATGCGGAGGTACCCACGCCTGCATGTCATGTTCAAAGAGGTGCAGAGGAACAAATGCAGCGGTTGCGGGTTCTGCACGAGCAACCCGTGCCACGCTGACCTGGATCCTTACGGAGCGCCGTGCGCCCTGCACAGCCACCAGGGACGCTGCAATGTCGTCCTCGTGTACCACGAGAAGGACCCCGATCCGCCGAGGGCCGATGACATATTCGTTGATACCACCATCTTCCCCGAAAAAGTTGACCCTATAATTAGGTTTATCCCATTTTAAACACTGTGGCAAAAAGCTACGGAAAATTCTGTAAACAGCTTGTGGTAATTCTCCGTAGCCCCCTTATCAATATTCTCCGTAGGACCTTACAGTGATCTCCGTAGGACTATACAGTCTTCCAGGTCCTACGGAGAAGACTGTGCGGACTTACAGAGAATACTGTGCGGCCCTACGGAGAATACTGATAAAAGGGCTACGGAGAATCCTGGCAAAAAAATTAACAGAATTTTCCGTACCTTTCTGCCACAGTGAAGCCAGCTACTTTTTTGGTGCCGGTGCAAAATAGGGAGCATCCAAGTGCTCAAGGACCAAATAGCCTGCAAATAAGGTTGCACCTGAGCTTATTTTGTTAAGTTTTTCCAGCCAGAAATCGCTGTGGCTGAGACTCCCAGTTGGTTTTTTGATGTTAATTGTATACCGAGTAATGCGCCTAGTCTTTCCCCGTAGATTTAGTCAAGGGTACTTCACGCTCAAATACATTTCTGTCGCATTATGTTTCTTCGATTCACCAATTAATAAAACATTGGAAAACGTTCTTTGTTGTCGTAATAACTGCGATTACCTGCCACTACACTGAGAAAAAATGCGGAAAGTTTTGTTCCTTTAACGGGGGCGGGAACATCAAAAATGCCTATTTTATGCCAAACTTTAAATTTTTGTATTACAATTCGTATTATGAACTCAAAACTTTCACCTACCCAACCCTAAGCAAAAGGCCAGAATACATTGTTCAATGTAGATGAAAATGTTGCAATAATACAGCTAAATGCATCTCTATTTGTTGGCCAAAATATTTCAACTGGTTTCGAAGTCTATGCGGGGTATCTTCAGTGATGAGACAAAGCTTAAAATCATCAGGAAACCAGCATGCAATAGCATGGATGAGTCACGGTGTAGGCGCAAAAGTGTCAAATTGCTTCTCTTTGGTATGAGTGTATTAAAGCTATTGTAAAGTAAAAAAATTACTTTTTAACATTTTTTTAAATACGTGTGTCAGATGTCTCAATTTATGGGTAAAGGTACTTCTCTATTGCATAAACTTAAACAATAAGAGTAGGGCGCCACCTCATTTCAGTTTCTGAGTTATGGATGATCACGTTAACTTCTGGTCGTTTCTCTTGAATTCTCCCCACTACAAAGGATTATCTACCCAGTCTTCAGACTCTGGCAATCATATTTATTTTTAACATGGGAAAAAGATAGCGTTGCCTTCTTTCAAGGAAGCACCCTGGTAAAAAAAAATTGCCAAAATTGCCAAAAATGGTATTTTTTAAGTTCACCTTTAAGCTTAGTGGGTAGTTTCTTTATCATTAGGAAAGAGATAACATTAAGATCAGTTGTTGTTGGCTTACGGGCACAACTTCACAGCTTTGCTCAGTCGTCAAAAAATTTTGACGTAGAAAGACTTCCTGTGTTCCTGGTTGACATATGCATAAGTCGTCTTGCATGGACTCTACTCTTTGATGACTTGTCGACAACTACCCAGTGACGGAATCTTAACATCAGCCCTACCTTATTTTACAAACACAAAAAAGTTTGAAAAATAGGCAAAAAACTCACTTTTTTGATAAGTTAAATTTTGAATATTTGGATCTCAGGACAGAAGTTTAATTTGAAAATTCCGTCACAAACAACGCTTCTATACATCTTTAGGATAACCCAAAAAATTTTCAATACTTTCTGTCCCAATGAAAGACGCAGGAAGATTTACCCCCAACACTCTCAAAAACACTAGAGTGGCACTTTTCTCAAGAGACCGTTCAACATTTTGGATTGAATTTTGTTTTCGGAACTCACCATAATGAACCTAATAATTGAGCAAAGTTTTAACTTTCTGGGATTCTTTTGAAGCCTTCTTGATAGTTTCACCAGGGTCCCCCCTTTAAATTTCCCTTATTTTCCTAAAAGCCCCTAAATAAGACCTAAATCTCACAAATTTGAGGAAAAATAAAAATGGGCCTGGGAGAGTAGCTTTTACAGCCTCTTCTGGACTGGTATTTGCAAATTTGCCAACGCTCTCTCTTTTTTCTCTCTTTGGCGGTTCAAATGCCAGAATCTAATATTTGGGTACTTTTTCCACTGCCGTGAGGAGAATTTGAAAGAAATGGCTGAAAGCCTAAGTGAACCTCCGTAACTCAGAAACTAAAAGGGGTTTACGCCACCAACTGTGGAAGTAAATTCATCTAATGGTGGTTGAATTTCGACCATGAAGTAACTTCTTGCGACGTATTTCTGGGACAATCAAAAAGTTGAGTAAGGAATACACAGTCTTTAATATTCAGACCTTCCACACAGAACGAAATATAATCCACAGATACTTAAAAATGGATCAAGTCACATTTTTTAACAATAAATTTTGAATAGAGAAAAATACAAGTATTGATATACAAGCGCAAGCAAAATCACTTAAGTGGCAAATAAAGCAATTATTATGATTACGTACACCATTTGCCTTCCATATTAAAGGAAAAGACGCATAAAATGAAAGTCCCTTCATTAGTTAACAATGCAAATATTGTTAATTCAAACGATATTGACGCATTTGACGCTGTACATTTATCAAATACTTCATAATCAGCCAGATTTATGAAAGTCAGTTTCGACAGAATGGTACAGAAAAGGGAGCTTGGCACCCAGTAGAGCCGATTCGTATCCAACACTAAAACAGTCTTCGTCATTCATTCAAAATGGTAAAAACGAATCGACAACACTGCAAACCTAACTGTCTACTAAGTACACACTTACAAATGCATGCTTGCAAGTACACACTTACAAACGCATGCTTGGCAAGTACACACTCTCAAATGCATGCTTGCAAGTACACACTTACAAACGCATGCTTGACGCCGTATAACTCCATGCGTCAAGCATGCGTTTGTAAGTGTGTACTTGCAAGCATGCATTTGTAAGTGTGTACTTGGCCAAGCATGCGTTTGCAAGTGTGTACTTGCAGGCATGCATTTGTAAGTGTGTACTTAGTAGACAGTTAGGTTTGTAGTGAAATCAGAGGTGAACGGCTGGCCGGGTCACGGGGACGAGCGAGAGGGGCCGGCCACCTGGAAGCAGTTCCTCGGACAGGCACCGGGGTGTGCCGAGTACAGCCATCCGCTGCGCAGCCGCGCGTGGCAGCCCCAGCGGCACCACACACACGCGCAGCCCTGGGGGACGTCGAGCAGGCCGCAGTGCAGGAGGTGCAGGCGGGGGTTCCGCAGGAGGAGGTCCTGGATGGCCGGATCGTGGAGCCACGCGTGGAGACACGTGCCTTGATCCGGACAGGTCAAGCTCAGCGTCGAAAGGCTGGGGAGCGACTCGGGGCTGATGGCCCTGAGGAGGTTCGGGGGAGCCGAGGCCAGATTCAGGCACTGCAGCGAGGAGAACCGGGGCAAGAGTGGCGCTAGCTGCTCCAGGACTTCGGGCGCACCGCCGACACCAATCAGCGATTCGAGGAGAGGGGCTGACCGCGACCCGGCCAGTTCCCGCAGATCCGCCGCCGAGCTGATCCCCGAGGCGCCATGGAACTCCAGGGCCCGCAAGTGGGGGGCTCTTCGCAGGAGGGCCCGAGCGCCGTCCGGGAAGGCGACGTCGCCCCCGAACAGTTGGATTTGCGCGAGGCTGGGATGGTCGGCCAACTCCGACAAGCTTTGAGTGGCGCGGCAAGCCAAGCGACGCAGCTGTGGCAGTTCGCCCAGCAGGGCAGTGGGGACCTCCGCCTCGGCCAAGCGAGGGATGGACACGTCCTGAAGGGTGGCCGCGTGTGTGCTCAGCAGCTGGTGCATGAAGGGACCCCCCGCTCTCGAAGAGAGTGCCAGCTTAGTGAGCGAGGGCCGCACCGGCACCTCACACCAGGGCGCCGGCAAAGGCACACGGTGGCCGTGGTTGACGGTGAGCTCCTCGATGCCTTGGATGCAGAGGATCGCCTTGAGAAGCGTCGGCAGGGTCGGACTCGCCGAGGGACAGCCGATGTTCAGGCAGAGATTCCTCACTCCGCCGACAGAGGACAGCTTGTTGACGATGATGGTGGCGAGGGCCGCGTCGCTCGGGCTGAGAACGTCCAGCCGCAGCATCGTGACGACGCAAGCGCTGCCTTGCACGAGGCAGGCCACGGCCTCGAGATCGCTCGCCCTCACCGTCACCTGGCGCAGGCACGGCGCGAGGCTCAGCGCGGCGCGCAGCACGCCCAGGTCAGACACGCAGGCCGCCGTCCACAGCCGCCGGTGCAGGCACAGGTCTCTGAGGCGCCGGCACTGCACGCGGCAACCCAGCAGCTCCCGCGGCGACAGGTGGGCCAGCACCGCCAGCAGCACTTCGTCCGGCAACGCCAACAGCTGTGGGCAAGGCATCGTGGAGTTTACAGTGGGCAAACATGGATCGCCGGAACAGACGAAGGTACACTCCCATTCTAGGAACGTGACATCACGTTGAAACGAATGTGACAAAGTGTCACGTTTCTTAGAGCAATGTGTCTCATTTGTTTGAATGTGGTTAAGCTAATTGATGGCTGATTCAATTCACGTCCAAACGAATATGTGACATAATACTGGAACGTTCGTATAAACGTGACGTCACGTTTCTGGAACGAGAGTGCACTCGAAGGTACTTGAGTAACTGGAGTGTGAACTCAGTCGAATAATGTGCACTCAAAAAGTGTACAAAGCTTTAGCTTAGTAACTACGAAGAAAATGAAGGCATCGAAGAAATGCTCAATAATACGTAGGATTTTGCTTCGTAATCTTTATTTGCGGGCTTGCATGTACGCACCTATACTTAAAACCATGAAAAGTATTTTGAGCACGTGGGACATTCTATGTGAAGTGAACCAGGCCTTAGCCACCATGGACGCCGACAAAAGTTCTCGCTTTTAGGGTTTGTTGCTATGGTCCCATGCATTCACTGTAAATCCAAAGGCAATACTTTTGGTACCTTTTTTGGCGATACAATTAAGTATCGCCAATAAACGGCCTTACGAAAAAGTATTGCCTTCAAAACGGCGATACACAAAAGTATCGCCAAAATTTGGCGATACATCGGAGTATTGCCATTCTCAAGGGAACTTTTCCGTGAGGCCGTTTATTCGCGATACTCAATTGTATCGCCTAAAAATGTACTTAAGTATCGCCTTTGCATTTGCAGTGGTTTAAAACGCTAAATGAAGCCCGAATACGTTTAAAAATTTATAATTTGTAAGTTAAGTAAAGTGTTCTCACCCGTACACATGCTCTCATGTGTACACTACACACTAAATGTCATGGGCCTTTTTTTGTCACACGATTTATGCAATTTTAAGCACATTCGACGCTGATAAAATTTTGTTCCCGTCTGGCGACACATTTCGTCCGACGCCTACTGCAACTTGTACTTTCACTAGACAATTTGTCCCGCCCGGCGGACACAAAATTGCATCACCACCGGATTTGCTTAAAATTGCATCATTCATGGGACAAAAAGAGAGTCCCATGACATTTAGTGTGTACAGCTCTGAGTGATTCGCCCCTCGTTTTGGCTTGGGGCCCCCCAGGGGCCGGGTTATGGCCCATTAACTCTTTGGAGCAATAGTGGAACAACGCAACTTTGGAGGGCCATATCTCAGCCAATATTGGTCGTAAGGCCAAATTCAAGACCAGATTTGCAAAGCGGATCTAAAACTTCATTATGTTTTGTACTAGAAGTTTTTTCTTAATTAATTATATAACTTATTACTTTAAAACTTTAGTGAAGTTTTAAAATTAGCGCAATTGACCCTCAACCGACTTTGACCAAACTAGGCTTAGAAGATGGCTGTAACACTTCTCAAAACGAAAATGTCCACCGAAAAATGTGTTCGGCTTTGTCCTCGAGAAGGAGCCGTTTTTGTTAACCCCTACACACTTCATGTCCTGGGACTTTCAAGTCCTATGAATGATGCAATTTTAAGCACTCGAGTTGTGATGCAATTTTGTGTCCGCCAAGCGGGACAAATTGTCTAGTGAAATTTTTAAAATAATTGTCGCAGATGTCTCGATTTAGGGTTAAAAGTTCCTTTATATTACATAAACTCATACCCTTAGACCAGGGCCCCAACTCTAATTAGTGTCTGAGTTACGGAGGTTTACGTTAACTTTTAGTCGTTTCTCCCAAATTCTCCTCACGACAAAGGATTAGCTACCCAGTCCTCACATTCTGGAAGTTTTATCTCTTTTTGAATATAAAAAAGATAGCGTTGCCCTTTTTTAATATCTGCCTTTGTTTTCCTGAAAAACCAAACACAAGACCAAAATGGGTCCATATCTCACTCATTTGAAAAAATATAAAAATAGGCCTGATAAAAAAGCCATTACAGCCTCTTCTCGACTGACACCTTCAAATCTGCCAGCGCTATCTTTTTCCAATGCAAAAATAGATAAAAATGCCAAAATCTGAAGACTGGGTAGCTAAACCTTTGTCGTGAGGAGAATTTGGGAGAAACGGCTAAAAGTTTACTTAAACTTCCACAATTCAGAAACTAATAGGGGTTGGCGCCCCCAACTTTGGAAATAAATTTATCTAATAGAGGTTGAATTGTGACCACAAAATGATCTTCCTCTGACAAATATTTCTAGGACATGCAGGTTTCACTTTGCAGTATCTTTAAAGTTGTTGAATCTGAAAACTCTTACACACATTTGTGGCAATATTGGCCATTTCTTCATCGGCCCCCCTCTAAATGATATACATATTATTTTGGTTCCTTCGTTGGAACTTAATAAATGACAGTGAATTCGCATGTAAGGTAGGCAACCACTGCACAGAAAAAACTGGGCCCCTACGTTTCCCGCGACACTACCATCTCGTTATCATCATCAATTTTAATAGTTTTTAAAATCAACATTTTAAAATCAAAACCATGAAACGATAGCGTTTTTTAGACTCTTAGCTCCACGAAGGTCCTGTTTTTTTCTCCTAACTCTTAGATTTACGATACACTGGTAGAACTCAAGCGTAGTTTTACGCCTTTCTTCAAGCGTAGTAGAACTATGCTCGGCTTCAAGCATAGTTCTCCATTTTGCCCCTCTCCGGCCTATCTAGATGCATGGGAGAATTTCTTCTCTACGCTTGACGTCAAGCGTAAAGTCTCGGTGTAGTCAGTGCGAAGAAGAACTAGACAGGGAAGAACTGGACACCTCCATGTGCCGTATGCCCAGGCATACCAAGAGATGTTCCGTGGCATCAGCGGTTTGGAGTAGTCGAGATGTTTTTGAGTTCTTCCCCTGTCTAGTTTTTCCCCGCACTGCCCCTAGTTCTGATTCAAAGAAGTTGCCCATTCGGGCTGTGGTCCCGCGTCTGCCGGCCGGACCGGCCGTGCCGACCTGGTTTCACCTCCCGCCCGGGAGTTTCCACCCGCTGCCTAAACCGGCCCAAACACTGCGAGAAAACAGTATACGGAAAAAGGACGGAACATGTCGGGTCAATAATTTGCCTGGACCGTCCTTACCTGTCCTGCTACGGAACTTCTGTTCTTTCTTCCGTAACCGATTACATGAGCTCTAATGGGACAAGTACGAAGGTTCCGTACTTTTTTTCCGCACGTCCGTACCGTTTTCATTCTACAGGGTGAGTTTTCTCGATGTGTCAATATTTTCAACACTGCAAGAAGAAGTGTGGATAGTACAACAAAAGTACAACAAAAACTGTACAGTTAAAGTACACCACACTACAAGATCAAATGTGTGCTTAGTACACAGCTGTGGGAGCGTACTTGCAAGCACACATCTATAGGTGTATGCTTGGACAAGCACACAGCTATAGAGTGTGCCTTTAAATGGGTGGGATTAAAGTGTGCTTGGCCAAGCATACACCAGCGGGTGGAAACTCCCTAGGTGGGGCTGGGACCGGGTCGGGATCGGTCCGCTCGGAGCGCCACGGCCAGCAAAAACTGTGGGACGGTCCTGAAAATCAAAATTTGGAGAATTGGGTATCAAAAAAGGATCAAAAGTTTGGGTGTAAACCGAGGAATAAAATGAAAACAGCTTTCCCCGCGGGAAAGTGCGACCATGGACCATTTTGTCGGACCTGGGGGTACGAAGCGGCCAGTTTTTGTCATTTCCGGGGGGATACTTTCCTTGATTGGCAGGACCGTTCAAGAAATACGCCCACAGAAATAAGGGAAGGTTCGCTTGTACTTTTCCAAATTTCCCTTCCCACCCATCCTGCTCATCCTTCGCCAGGCGGGCGCGCTTCGTAGCGATCGGTGGCGCGGGGCTCTGTCTCCAGCGCGCCTCCGTGGCACAGTCGGCAGCGTAGCAGGTAGCTAATCCGGCGTCGAGGGGTCTGGTCCCGCTCGGCCATTGTTTTTGCCCGACTACCTGGACCCCAGAATGCGAGCAACGCGCTCATTTCTGTGCGCCGCGCGCTCATTTCTTGGCGCGTCCTCGCCAACTTTTGCACCAAGAAATGGACACGGGCGCGCTGATTCTGGAAAGACGGTGCGGTCGCGCTCATTCCGAATGTGCGCGCAGCTCGCATTCTGGTTCAGCGCGTAGGCTCGCATATAATGCGACTCGCAGCTTTACCGTGCAGACGAACTTGTCGCCCCGCATCGGTACCTTATTTTAAAGAAATGTACCCTAAATCGAAACATTTGGAGTCATATTCGGGTATCAAAATCAAGGTTATTGTCTAAAGAATGCATCTGAAGCATAGTTTTCTCTTTATAATCGAAATAGAAATAAGGGAGGTGATGAAAATGCGATGGCTCGGTCGCGGGAAACGCTACCACCAGATTTTGTAACACTTCGTTTTCAATGTTAGAGCCCTCGGAGGCCATACATGTAAGCGAGCCAATTTTTCCTTACAAAATTTCGCTCGGCGTAGGATACATTTCCTTTTGATTGGACTCACCTTGCAAGAAATATCCCACATAATAGTTGATGCGACGGAATGGCGTCTGCTTGTACTTCTCACTTCAACTCGATAAATAAAATACAAACCACTCGAATCAAAGCTGCATATCTGGCCTAATGCACGGCAAATTTAATGTAGATTCATTTTGCACACGCGGCTTTGGGAAATAAGGTCGGATTTCTTTACATTAAGTGGATTAAAAACACCAGACGCAAAGAGGCTGAAATGACCACTTTTACGGTCTCTACTAACGTGAGAAATCCGACCCGTCTAGACACACGCGAGTTCTTGAGAACAAATCTTCGAACATGCCGTCGTGCATTTTGTTTAAAGGTTTTTGCACGAAACTAACCTCAAATTATACAATATGAATTCTAAAATACTGCAGCGTCAAACACCATTGAAAGCGTCATCAGCCCGTGTCGTCTGGACCGGAGGACGGGACAGACTATGGCAAATTCGCCGCTCGGCACATTGTTTACTTTTCACAGTTCCACGATTGGGCATTGCATTTGGTTGATTTTGAAAGCATGGATTCTCCTCAGGAGATTAGTGTGGAAGTCAATGAAAGCAACACACGCTACCCGAGCAGCCAACATGTCGGCAGGTGCAACTGTCACAAAATGGAAACAAAACTGTGCCGAGCGGTGAATTTGCCATAGTCTGTCCCGTCCTCCGGTCCAGACGACACGGGCTGATGACGCTTTCAATGGTGTTTGACGCTGCAGTATTTTAGAATTCATATTGTATAATTTGAGGTTAGTTTCGTGCAAAAACCTTTAAACAAAATGCACGACGGCATGTTCGAAGATTTGTTCTCAAGAACTCGCGTGTGTCTAGACGGGTCGGATTTCTCACGTTAGTAGAGACCGTAAAAGTGGTCATTTCAGCCTCTTTGCGTCTGGTGTTTTTAATCCACTTAATGTAAAGAAATCCGACCTTATTTCCCAAAGCCGCGTGTGCAAAATGAATCTACATTAAATTTGCCGTGCATTAGGCCAGATTTGCAGCTTTGATTCGAGTGGTTTGTATTTTATTTATCGAGTTGAAGTGAGAAGTACAAGCAGACGCCATTCCGTCGCATCAACTATTGTGTGGGATATTTCTTGCGAGGTGAGTCCAATCAAAAGGAAATGTATCCTACGCCGAGCGAAATTTTGTAAGGAAAAATCGGCTCGCTTACATGTATGGCCTCCGAGGGCTCTAACATTGAAAACGAAGTGTTACAAAATCTGGTGGTAGCGTTTCCCGCGACCGAGCCATCGCATTTTCATCACCTCCCTTACTTCTATTTCGATTATAAAGAGAAAACTATGCTTCAGATGCATTCTTTAGACAATAACCTTGATTTTGATACCCGAATATGACTCCAAATGTTTCGATTTAGGGTACATTTCTTTAAAATAAGGTACCGATGCGGGGCGACAAGTTCGTCTGCTGGCCGTGGCGCCCCGAGCGGACCGATCCCGACCCGGTCCCAGCCCCACCTAGGGAGTTTCCACCCGCTGCATACACCTATAGATGTGTACTTGCCAAGCATACACATATAGATGTGTGCTTGCAAGTACGCTCCCATAGCTGTGTACTAAGCACACATTTGATCTTGTAGTGCAGGGATTGTAGAAAGTACAACGAGAATTGTACAAACCACAACGAGCCCTGGACTGCACAGCACTCATCATGCCGGCTCCATTGTACTTTGTACAACAATTGTTGTACTTGAAAAGTACACTAAAGTCCTGATAAAAAATTTGCCAGAAGTTTATGTACTTTTGTTGTGGTTATTTCGTGCAGTGTAGGTAGCTAGGGCACCCCTCTCCCCCCACAATGCACGACGTCTCTATCAATAGACAACTTCGGCGTCATCCCACCTCAAGGAAACAAAATACAAGGTAGGTGTACGCCAGACCGTGTCTGGTCGTAACAGGCTTCGCGATGCTGCGCCAGTTTCGACCATCCACGCCTGGTGTATTCACCTACCTTGGCCTGCGGCGCTAACCTGCCTCCGGCAGGCTGCTTCCCTAGGCAGACCGTAGAGATGGGCGTGATCCCCTCAAAAAATAGTATTTGGTCATCAAAATCTACACCAATGGGATTTAACTTTCGATTGGTGGCCGAAACGGGTTCTATTTTCGTCATCAGCAGCCTCAAAAACATATGAAACGATATGAAACTTGACAAAAAGTTGAAAGTACCAAAAAAGTTGTCTTTTCTGTCGTTTTTGAAGTGTTTTTTGGCTTATATGACCGAATGGATTGAGATAGAAAGCTGCATTTTGGTGTGTGGCGAGCCAAGGACATCACTGTGGGAAAAAATCACAGTAAATCCTGTAGCGATTAGTACAGCTGTCACTGTAGTTCAGAGTACAGGATTTACTGTACTTTTTTTACAGGATCTACTGTACTTTGTACGGGATTTACTGTTACCACTGGAGTGGAGTACGGAATATCCTGTACCAGGTACAGTAAAGGCTGTAACCAGGCACAGTAAATACTGTGTCCTGAACTACAGTAAATCCCGGCAAAAAAATTAACGGGATTTACTGTGGTTTTTTCGCACAGTGATACCTAATGACCCTGCAAAATCTCAGCCAGATCGGCCGAGCCGTTCAGGAGGAGTAGTGCACACACACACACACGCACGCAGACAGACAGACAAACAGACAGACAGACAAAACTTTTCAACCCCACTGGAGTAACGGGCTTCGCTATCGCTCAGCCAAAAAAGTTTCCAGCCGCTCCTGGGTTTGCCCCTGGTAACAGAGATATAGACTCACCGCAACTTGGTCCATTTCCAGGCAGCGGTGAAATAACTGTCGCAGAACGGACCGACCAGGCCTTCTCTCGAATCTTAGGTTGCCTCAAGGCTGGAACGCGCTCAGAAGAACCTGAAAAGTAAATGAAATTGAAAACTCACTTCATGATTCTCACGACACTACGAGATCGATTCAGCACACACGGGTTTTCGGTGAAAAGCGACGCACCGTACACGGTAAAAATGGAACCTGGTTTTCCCAGGAAGCCAATGGTGAAGGCATAGGCGATTTCCAGGGAGTTCCTAGGAAAACCAGGATCCGTTTTCACCGTGTAAAAACTTTACGAAGAATCGCTTCGTAATATGAAGAAAACAGCATTATGAAATCTACAAAGAATTGATGTGCGTTAAGAAGCAATATCCTTGGTAATGCGAAGCATTTATTCTCCTTCATTTTCTTCGTAACTAGTTATGAAGCAAATGCTTCGAAGGTTTATTAAGAGCGGAAAACGAAAATAATCGAGGTGATGCAACGATAGTTCCCAATAACAAAGCAACACTCCAAGTCGAAAGGCGGTAACATTCCTAGACTCTGAGAGCCCTACAAACTATTTAAGGCCTCACTACACAGATAAACAACTTGTTATAATAGGGTACTTCGGAGAAAGCCTAGACCGGAAGTCAGCGACAGAACGGGAGAAACAAAAGAGCGTCGCGCGGCCGTGCTGAGCGGTGGTGGGGGTCGAAATCGGCGGAGTGGGGGCGAAGGCGGCGCGCGCATGCTACCCCCACTCTGCCCATTACCAGCCCCCACCACCGCTCGACACGGCTGCGCGACGCTCTTTTGTTTCTCCCGTTCTGTCGCTGACTTCCGGTCTAGGTTTCCTCCGAAGCACCCTATTAACTATTTTGAGCAAACATACGCTTACAGAGAATATAGGGTCAGTTGTGGTAATTTTAAGACACGGGGTAAAAATGGGACAGCTGATTCTTGGTCAAGATTTAACGTTTTAGGACTCATACCCTGCCAAATGTTATTTTCACAATGAAAGCATCACATTTAAAATGGTACCAGTTCTCAAATAGCAAATCTTCACCAACAACCAGCTGCCCCATTTATAACCCGTGTCCCCTAATTACCAGAACTGATCCTACTTGAGAGTTTACGAACCATTTCTTCGTATAATAAATTGGTTTGCCCTATGTAAGCTCAAAACACTTCGTTCGGTTTCAAGCGCACACCCTTAAGAAGCAGGCTTCAGGTTTTACCGCCAATGGGAAGCCGGCTAAGAAATCATCGCCCTTCAGCAGAACCTCAGACAGAACCTTGCGAGGAGTGTGTTCGCAGAACCAACAGTCAGAACTCTACGAAGAATCGCTTCGTAATACGGAGAAGATGAAGGCATTGTAAAATCTACGAAGAAATGCTTCGTGCTGTGAAGCGAAGTCCTTCGTATTACGGAACATTTCTTCATGGTATGGTATTTTAACGAATCCCTGGACCGGAAGCCAAAGAACAAAAGTAAAAATCGAAACGGCTTCTGCGCATACGCTGCCTCGTAATGGAGGGGGCACGTATGCGCACGCGCAGAAGCGAGCAGAAGCCGTTTCGATTCTTACTCTTGTTTTTTGGCTTCCGGTCCAGGGATTCGTTAAAATACCCTATACGAAGTAATGGACCATTCTAGTCGTGGCCAAGTGAAGAACAAGAAGAATCACAAAAGACTCATTAAGGGCATTTAGAATGCAAAATATGTTGTATTTACAATAAAATTTTCTCATCAACTACTACCAAACAAAGGGTTTTCAATATTCAAAGTAAAAGTGCTAAATAGTTGTCTTTTGTGACTCTTCTTGTTCTTCACTCGGCCACGGCTACACGCTTATCATCTTACGTTGGTTTTCGTGCGTAATACGATGATTTTCCATCGTAAGGTACGACCAATTTCCAACCTGCATAATACGCACGAATGTCAACGTAAGGTACGCAGGATTTTCAACGTAATACGCATGTTTTCAACGTATTACGTACGTTTCAACGTAAGGTACGTTGGTTGCGATTGTAGTACGATGACATTTCAGCGTAATACGCATGTTTTGATTTCAGCGTATGTTACGTTCACGTTACCATCGTAAGATGATAAGTGTGTAGAATGGTCTATTCTACAATGCCTTCACTGGATATCCGGGAGTGTGACATTGCGTTCGTTTGAACGTGAATCGTGTCCCGTTCGTTGGAATACTGTGCCACATTCGTTTGAACGGGCCCGGGCCTGGATGAGGTAGGATTCACGTTCAAACGAATAAGACACAGTATTTAAACGAACGTGACACGATTCACGATAAAACGAACGTAACGTCACTTTTCCTGATAGGGTATTTTACCGAGTGCCTGGACCGGTAGGCAAAGAACTAAATTAAGAACAAGGCTTCTGCGTTTGCGCGGATGTCCCCCCTCCACACTGAGGTAACGTCTACGCATGCGCAGAAGCCGTTTTGGCTCTTCCTTATCTTCATAGACTTCCGGTCCAGGGGTTCGTTCCCTATTCCCAGAGTTCAGTTTCATGGTTTGCAGCTCGAATAGACACTTCTAGCGAGGCCTGAAGTGAAGAACAAGAAGAAGAACATAAGCTGGAAACAGTTGCCAAATTACGCTCATTTCTTGATAACGAATGTTTATTCTCAATCCAAAAATTCAAGGAAGCTTAATTTTGTAATACAATCTGATTCACTGGTAAAACTAAAGCGTAACTTTATGCTTGAGCCTAGCATAAAGTTACGCCTGAAGACGTTACGCTGGAAATCAAGCATAGGCTAGAAATTCCCCCATGCATTTAGATAGGGAAAATCTTGGCGGATGAGCCTGTTCCGCTTGATTTCAAGCTTAAACTGACTACGCTTGAAAACAGTGGGTAATACTACGTTAGCTTTACCAGTGTTTAAACCTGCCAAAACCCCCGAAAAAGGACGATTTCTTGAACTGTTTCCGGTCTATGTTCTTCTTCTTGTTCTTCACTTCAGGCCTCGCTAGAAGTGTCTATTGCATCGATTTACAAATTACGATGCTTTGCAATAGGAAGCGTTTTTTCATGATACAAAGCCACTCTACAAACTACAAATCCAAAGGTCAGACTCCTCGCCACTCCAGAGGCAAGATATAAAAGTCTCGCAAAGTTTTGGTCAGATCTAAAAGTCTCGCCAGATCTAGGTCAGACATAAAAGTCTTGCCACAAAACGGTCAGACACAAAAGTCTCACCACAAAATGGCGAGACTTTTGTGTCTGACCGCCACCTGAAGGCTGTAACGCGCCGGACGTTGACGGCCGTAAGGCCGTGGTCAGACTCATCGAGACTTTTGTGTCTGACCGTTTTGTGGCGAGACTTTTTTGTCTGACCAAATTTTGGCGAGACTTTCAGGTCTGACCGAAACTTGGCGAGACTGTAATGTCTCGCCATATTTTGACGCGAAGGCTTTCCATCATTTGCAGTGCAACGCCTTCATTTCATTCGTCCCGTACGGAAACGATTACTCCCTTCACCAAAAGTCCTGTTTTGGTCCCGAAGAGAAGCCCTGACTTTCTCCCGAAGATCGTTTGTTTCGGGAGTTTGGGGTAAATAAGAGGACTGTTTTGAAGTCCCGCTGTAGCACCACTGTTCTTAGGAGGGGTAATCCCATTAGGATATCTTAAGGAATCGCTGGACCGGAAGTCAAAGAACAAAAGTAAAAACCAAGACTGCTTCTGCGCAGACGTGCCCCCTCCACTCTCTGGGAGGGAGCGTCTGCGCATGCGCAGAAGCTGTTTTCGTTCTTACCTTATCTTTGACTTCCGGTCCAGCGATTCATTAAAATACCCTATTCATGGCGCTTCCGAGGGCTCCCGAAGCGTGCGGGTGGCATACCAAAAAGACACGAATCGCGTCGTTTTCAGCTGACATGCCAACGATGGATTTAACAGCCGACAACTCCGAACTGGAACACGATTGTATACTATCTGACGAATTCCTTCTAATTATAGAAGTTGCGTAAATTAAAGACTCAAGAAACGGAACCAGATCGGAGCTTTTCCAAATTTGGACTCTACGAAGTCTTTCCTTTCGCTCCCTTTCTATACCAGGACTAAAGCGGAAGTCAAACAAGCACTGCAAAAAATTCCGTTGTTTGGTACGGAAAATGTACGGAAAAATGGGGTACAGACGGGTACGGAAAAGGTACGGCCCTTCTGTACTGGTTCTCTGTGGTCCCTATAAGGATCTCATGTAAACGGGTACAGAAAACATGTCCTCTGTGGTTGGCTAGGTACGGACGGTCCATGTAAAAAATTGACCAGAGATATTCCGTGAAATTTCTGTTCTTTTTTTCTATCAGTGAGACTTAAATATTGAGGCGGCAGTTTCGAAGCTAAATTTGTATGAACACCTTAGGCGCAAAGAAGAACAGGAAGAAGAACATGGAGGCAAGGTGGTGTAGCGTAGTGCGGTCTCACAACAAGCAGAAAAGTGGTGTCTCCAAACCTGCCCGTATGGAAGCAGATAGCTAAAAGCGGTCTCCGCGCTGTCAGAAAATGGTCTTTTGCCAAAGACGACTTGGCGACGACGGCTCCGATACCAGTTCAAGACCTTTTCGCGACGAATTAGAGACGACTTTTAGACGGCCTTCAGACGACAAGTACGCGGGGATCGCCGTCTGGATCGCGTCGCGCGTTGGTCTTCGCCAGGTCTCAAAGTCGTCTTTATTTGTTCCGAAAAAAGACGAAAGAAATACCAAGGCAAGACGAGACTCGGACGACGCCTCGGCCTCAACTCGCACCCCCCACCAGACCGCTTCCGGGTGATTCCGTGCGTAGGGGGTCATTTTGGATGTACCAAATGTTCTTTTTTAAAGTTCAACTTTAGGGGCTAAATTTGGTGTAGATGGCATACATAGTACTCCATAGTACCCCTCTGAGCGTGGCAGCGCTACAAGTTGACTTTTATTTTCACTCCCTATGAAATACGGCGGAATTTACAGAAATGATGACGGAATTTACAGATTACGGAATTTACAAAGCGAAGTTTTTAGTCTCCTGAACCGCTGGGTTACAAGATAGGTAAAAACTGTTGACGGTGTCATTTTCAGCATCCAAAATAGCATTTTTCAGCGAAGGTTGTGGGAACTTTCTCCCTCAGATGGAGGAGCTACGGCCCGAAACGGAATTTACATCCATTTTTACACCCTTACCGTTTTGAACCCTTCTGACGGCCTGGAAGCGTCGTTTGACCGCCCCAGGTCCCGTGGGCACGGGTTTCTAGAAGTGTTTTTATGTTCTTTCGATCCCAAGTGGTCGCGAGTTTCTAAAATGAAAAGGAACCCCAGTAGACCGTCATTTGTAAAAACAGCATAGGTCACATGGTCACACGGTGGACATTTTCCCAAAGGCTGTTTCGGGTTCAACAAGTGATGATACAAAGGTCACCCTCCGTAATTTTGTGAAGAATAAGTCAGGGGAGAGAGTGAAATAGCCAGTTTTCTTTTGATGTGGCTGAGTCATATACTACAGCATGGCAATGTTGTCTTATAGGTGTTGGTGACCATGACGGAACTTACAAAACGACACTTTAGCAGCTTACGAAACCCAGATAAACAAAAGTTAGATCGACTTATCCACATGAGGACATGGTCTTCGTTTAGTAAAACAAATTTGAATTGCCCAAGCTACCAAATCAACCTCAGTTCAGGCGCAAGGCCCCGGTGACCTGAAATGACCCCCTACGCACGGAATCACCCTTCCCCTCCGCTGGTGTTGGCCGTGCTGGTCCAAATGTCGTCTTTCTCGCAAGACGAAAGACAGACGCCCTGCCTCCCGGGACCGCCAGGCGATACTCCAGCCATTGGGACTCAACGACTCGTCCGATTCTGGTCTTCCCTTGAGCAGTGCCCTGGCGGTGCCCGCGCCGCGATACCCCACGTCTGCCAGCGAGTGCGCGCTCTGAATCTCGTCTTACCACCAAGACCAGATTAAGAGCGCGCGTCGAACCCTGTCCATGGAACTTTGTGGGAGGGAGGCGGGAGAGGACAATCTTAGAACGCTTTGGTACAAGTGTGGGACCTTCGTTTTTATTTATCGTTCCGAATATTGCAGTCTCACTCTAATTCATATCTATTTAGAGGGTCAATCAAATTCATTTTCCCTTCAACATCGAAGCAAAACGATACATACACCAGTTGAGTTACAGGAATAAAGTCTGTGTCACCAGAGGCTATGAGTTCTACATACCTAGGAAGGCCAGTAGGAGTATCCAAGGACTTTTCTAACAAAACAAAGTATTTGTCTTCATCAGTTTTAGCAAAAGTTAACACACGGCCATGGAATGCTTTCCCATTGATTTCATAACTACAATAACAAGATACCCGAGATCCTTTTACATAACAAGATCCAACATTCAATTGTCCATTTTTTATAAAATCTGTCAAAAAACCTGACTCCAACATTTTTCTGGTACAAGACAGTTAAAAATTCCTTCACATTTTCAATGTGAACATAAGTACACATAAGTTGAACAGCAAATTAAGGAACCAGTTTTAAAGTTTTTTGATTTGCGTGTTAGTTTTTCACAATAGGATTTAGCTTCACAACTGCACACACTTTCAATAAGCAGAGGCAAATCTCTGAGTAAGTCTAGTTTACCCCTGATTTGTTGGACGGCATGCCTGGATCCATGTACCAATGCAGCTATTTACCCATTTCGGCCCTCACCTTTGAAGCAGCTATGTACATACAAATTTCCACACACATTGCCTTAAATGGCGGACCAAGTGAAGGTTAAAAGACATATGTCTCAAGCCATACAAAACCTCAAATTCTTTGCAGAAATTTAATAAAAGCTCGTCAGCCTTTCCATAATCCGCATTAAATGCTATCTGAATTGAGCAATGAAATCCCCTCAACAAACTTGGTTGTATGTGTTTGAGTAATACAAGCACAACATATAATAGAAAATTTCTGCATAAAGATGCCTTCCAAAATGCCAAATTTTTGTCTACATCCAGGAGCAACCTCCGAACAAAATGAGGTAAATTGAATC